TTTGTGACTTCTTTGAACAGATTTTTGTCACCCGTCATGTGAATGGAACACACACTGTCTAAATGCCATGTTCCTTTACAACTCTTTCTGTGGTGTTCCAGCAAAATAGAATTATCACCTTCTTTTAGGTACCCAAGCTTGCTTGGGTCCTTGTTGGTTAGTTCTACTGGAACCAAGATTATATTTGGGTTTCCAAATCCATCCTGAAATATCAGATTTAAGAAATCTAAAAAAGGAATATTTATGTCCAACTTTGTTAGTAATGACACACAGGGGTTGATCCAGTTTTTGATCTACCACTTGTGTTAGTATTTGTGGACTCAGTTCTAACTGGTCCTTTTCCAGTTGACTTGTAAGTCACCTGGCTAGACTTGACAGAGCTGTAACTGGTGGATTTGTGCATGCCATTAAGTTGCATTTGCAATTCCTGAACTTTATCTTGAAGTACATCTCTTTCGATTTCACAAACTTCAAGCTTAAGTTCCCAGTCCTACTTTTCCCTATTGTGTCTCCTTAGTTCATTTAACATTTTTTTAGACTCCTTCATGGTATGGTCAAGAATATCCTGTAATTCATTACATCTATCACAGTTATAGGATCTTACCTCGCTTGTTTCACCTCGTGCCATGAAACAGTTTTCAGTATCTTCCTTGCATTTATCATCTGATGCATCTTCATCAGTCTCACAACCAGAGTACTTGTTTATGTTGTTTTCCAAGATGGTCATAAAGCACATATTTGCTATTTCTTTGTGTTCTGAACTATCTTCATCAGTCCAGCTTCCGAAGGATTTGTTTTTACTGAACCCTCAGGAGAATTTTCTTTTAAGATATGGGCATTCAACTTGAACATGCCCATACCTTCCACACTTACAACACTTCACGTCATCCTTGTCTTGTTCATTGTATTGCACGGTTTGCCTAGATGGCGTCCTTCCCCTTCTTGTGTTTCTATACCTTCTCATCAATCCATCCATGTTTCTTGATACTATGGCAACTTCTTCTTCAAGAGCTTCTAGGTTATTATCAATATCATTTTCAGGTCCTTCAGTTGTAGTTTTGAAGGCAACTGGTTTCTTCTATTCTTCCTGACTTGTTTTCTTGAGATGAGTTTTCTCGAATGCTATAAGATCATCTCGTAGTTATCATATGAAAGTTTGTTTAGATCTTGAGATTCAAGCGCAACTACTTTTGTCTGCCAAGTGGTAGGTAAACTCCTTAGGATTTTTGAACTTGATCATCACTTGAGTAGAGTTTACCAAAGGCTTTCAAATCGCCGATGATTTTGCTGAATCTTGCTATCATTTCCTCCATGGATTATCCGTCTTTCATCTGGAAGAGTTCATAATCATGAACAACATGTTTATCCGAGTTTTTTCACTTTGCTGGTTCCTTCATTGGTGACTTCCAGTTTGTCCAACAATTCTTTGGCTGTATCACAACTTGAAATTATCTCATACTCTTCTCTACTTATAGAATTATATAAAAAGTTTCATGCCTTAGCATTAACCTGAACGACCTTCATTTGCTCGTCTATGTATTCATCTATATCTTCAGGATCAGCGGGTGGTTGAGCTGCTGCTAGTAGTGGATAGTTTTCCTTTTTGTTAATGCGCCATACTTTTACATTATAAGATTTGCATAAATTTTCATTCACACTTTCCAGTGACAAAAGTGTTTTCCATTGAAATATGGTGGCGTGACTTGCGACGTTCCTTCTTAAAAGAGTTCTCCAACAATAACTTGATTTGCCATGATCTTCTCACAAGCTGTTAAGCAAAAAGTGTGAGACCTGATCTGATACCAATTGAAAGTACTAGAGGGGGTGAATTGTAATTCTTCTTTGTTTTTCAAGGTATTCGACTAATTTGTGTTCTAGTCGACTGAGCTTTTCAAAACTGAATATAGAAAATAAATTGCAGAAAGTAAATAACACAGAATATTTTATACTGGTTCGGATTTAGAGTGAATTCTACGTCTAGTCCCCTTGGGTTGCAAGGGTAATCTCTTTCAAGTATGAAGTGTCTTAGTACAGATGGGTTGATGTTGTTATATACCAACAACTTTTGTCACTTTGTTCTTCTATCTTTAATTGATACAATACCTCACCATTATTCTTTTCTCTCTCTCTTCTCATCTTTGTTACACAAGAAATATAAAGCAGACTACAATGCTTGTTTGAAGTAGAACAAAGAGATTGAAATTAGTTCGATCAAAGTATATCTTTCCTAGGCTGGTGCAATAGGCATTTATACTTCGTGAGAAATTTATGTCTTGTAAGTCTTTTGAGAGATTGCAAACCCAAGGGAGTTGTCCTCGGAAAGAAATCGTAGATTGATTCTTTTCAAGACCAATTCTTCTGTTGATTTGCCTTGACTCATGGGCTTGATTTATTTCTTCCTTTAATGGGAGAATATTCCCGTTGTCAATTCCCTTGATTTATGCTTCGATTGACGTCTTTATGTGGAAGAATCTTCAACGGATGATTTGGTGCCCTTGACCTCCTTTAATTGAGATCTTTCCTATAGTATCCTCATTGACTGATTTTCCCAGCTCCCTTGATCGATTTTTCCACTCCTCTTTCCTTTTTTGTTTTTATTCTTTTATTCCTCCATTCTATTGCTCAAAAATTATTCCTGCACATAAGGAGTAATTTATTATTTTGCATCATTAAAATCAACTTAAATCTAACGAGACGAGCGTCTAATAATGCAATCATCATGAAGGGCTCTAAAGGTAAGCTAATGGTTAAAATCAACTTAGAGAATGCTTTTGATAGAATGGAATGGTCTTTCATCTTAAGAACTCTTATTTCAAATTTTCTCCAAAAATTACTAAGCTTATTTTGGTTTGCATCTCCACCTCCTAAATTGGTGTTTTGGTAAATGGCTCAAAGACTGAATTTTACAATCCCTCGAGAGGCATTCGGTAAGGTGATCCTATGTCCCCCTATATTTTTATTAGTGCATGGAACATCTATCTATTTGCATTATCCACCAAGTTTATATAGCCTTTTGGTATCCAATAAACCATTTATAGATTCCCCCTTTATCATCCCATCTATTTTTGCAAACGGTCTTACCTTAATGGACAATGCTAATGAAAAGAATGTCCGCATGATCCAACACTACTTATCCTCCCTCTGCCAATTCTTAAGTTAAAAAACTAATTTCACTAAATCCAAAATAGTTTTCTCTTAAAGTTGCGTTCAATCGACTAGATACTTGTTAGTTGACACCCTTAATATTAATGCTAATAAAAGAATTTGGTAAATACATAGGATTTTCTATTGTGAATCGCCACCCTAAAACTTTAATTTTCGTTATCTCATTGATAACATGAATAAGTGCTTGGCTAATTGGAAAACTAATTTTATGTCATTTTCTAGTAGAGCCACCTTTATTTAAACTACTCTCAATGCCCTACCAAACCATACCACGCAATATTTTCTTCTCCCTCCTCTTATCCAAAAACGTGTAGATAAAATTCAAAGAGACTTTCTATGGGGTACTACTTCTTGCTCTAGGAAAATTCACTATCTTAAATGGGATATGGTCACTCTCCCTAAGCACAACGAAGGTCTTGTTCTTCGTAAAGCTTCTCACAAAACTATTGTCCTCCTAATGAGTCTTTCTTGGTATTTATTTACTCATGCTTCCTCACTCTGGACCAATATTCTTATTAGAAAGCATGGTGCTCGCCTTAGGGCAACCAATTACTCCTTCATGTGGCACAATATTCTAGTAGGCTGGAATATATATATACTCCAAAGGCCATTCGTGGGTTATTGGGAATGGAGCCTGTGTTGACTTCTCGAACTCAAATTGGATCTCTTTCCCAATCACTCCATAGCATGATTTATGGCTCTTTAACCTTTAATGAATCTAACCTTAGGATTAGCGATGTGTGAAAAAATAACAACCGGGAACTATCAATATTATCCTTTGATCTACCCATCTGTATTATTAATCCTATCCACATTGTGGAATTATCATATAGTGATGTTACTACAGATACCCCTAGTTGGTCCCTAACCTTATATGGCTTCTTTTCCACTAAATCCACCCTACCGCTTATCTACTCAACTAACTGTAGTTATGATATAGCTGTATTTAAATGGATTTGGAACCTTAATACTCTAAAAAAATCAAACACTTCCTTTGAGAATGTATCTTAACCATATTGGCATACATATTGATCCTATGTGCACTATTTGTCGACATGAAGTATAAACCATTGTTCATTTCTTCCTTCAATGACCCGATGGATACCACTTCGTTAAATCTCAAAAATTTACATTGGATTAATGCCCTTAGAGGTACCACCTCACAAAATCTGCTGCATTCAATATCCTTAATTGAAATAATAATGTATTCCACAGATATTATGCCAACCACTTACCTGCAATCTCTCATATGCACATGCCTTAGAGTATATGCACTGTACCACCATTACAACATTTTAGGCCTTTGACTACCCCGAAAAAGTGTGGTCTAAACTAGCAAAAAGTGTGGCCTTTGGTCAAAGGCCACACTTTTCGACTTTACTTTTTTGGGGGTGGCCAAAAGAAGCGTAACCTTTGACCTACGGGCACGCTTTTCAAGTGTTGCCTTACAAGCCACGCTTAAAAGCGTGGCCTATTAGTTAACAAAGACAACGCTTGTTACACCCCATATGGCAATGCTTTTACACCCTACCGCTACACACAAAAAGTGTGGTCTTTGTTACCTTTTAGGCCACACTTGTTAACCGTGGCTTCTAAAGGAACCCCTAGAAAATGTGGTCTTTGGTAGACGTATAGACATGTAGTCACACTTTTAAGCGTTGCAACTTTGGCTAGGCTATACAATTTATTTTTTATTTTAAAAAAATATTTTACTTATAGCATGTAATTACAATTATTTCAAGCTTATGCATTATTATCATATATTTTGATGATATAAAGAACTAAATTAGCTAATAAATACCAAAAATAATAATCCAAATGAATACACATACTAATAAAACAGTGTGTCAAAATGCTCATTAACAATAAACTTTTCAAAAGTGAGTATATTCATATAGTATCATGAATATTAGACATCTTAATTATCCAAAAATTATTTGCATTCACATTAAGATCAAATTGACTTTCGGACACCATTTTCAATTGCATCATCCGCTTTCTCCTACACATAAAAAGAAATTAATAATTAGACAGAAACTAAACTTTAATCGTTGGTCTAGAAGAACAAAGACTAGGATAGCATATAGTAGCACCATGTTTTGCATATTTTTCGGTCATATATAAATAAAATTTGACTAATGAGGACAAATAAACAAAATATAGTAGTCTCATTTCACTCACCCCATATTTTGCATAATCACAAAAGATAGTTCCGTCCCGTACAACATGATTCTACAGCTTCCAAGATTCACGATTTAATGTTGTTAACAAGAATTATTAGCTTTTGAGGGGGGGGGGGGGGGGGATGGGCATTGTTAGCACATCTGGTAGTGGAGGCATTATTAAAATGCATTCAAAGAAGCCATGGTTAACAAGCTTCCTGGTTTGAGCATGGGCATTATCAAAATGCATTTGAAATATGGGCATTATCAAAATGCATTCAAAGATTCATGGTTGACATGTCAAAAGTGAAACACCAAGTAGTTGGCTAACTAAATAAAACTGAAAACTTTTTTTAGGACAAGGACTGGGACAAATAATTAGAAGCTAAATACTTAGTGAATATGACAAATTCACAGCAGCAAACAACTAAGGAACTAGGCTAAAAAAAATTTCTAGATGATCATGTTAACCTAAGCATGAAATGTTAATGCTGGCAAGATAGTAGTAAGTCCAAATCAGAACATGCACGACAATGAAAGTAATTGATCCAAATACAATGGCTTCCTTGAAAATGAATATGAATAGTGCACAATTAGGGGGTGCTTCAAATATCAATCTTGCTTGTTTTCAAGGGAATGGGACTAACAATAATGTTGCTGCTATTATGAGCGGAGGCATTAATAATTCCAACTTAATGGGAATATATGATTTCAAGTTCATTCGAGTAATGTTATACAAGGATCTTCAGCAACTAATGGTTTAAACACAGGTCATCAGCAGTACAATCCGTCGTCAATGCTAATGAATTTGCAGAACATGCATGCAATGCAACAACCTCAGATGATGTACAATAGGTCTACTTTTGTTCCTCCAGCCACTGGTTATTACTATAATTATATGCAGATTGGATTGTGCTAATCTTTACTATTATATGCAGATGAAATATTTGTCAGGTATGAGTCTAAATACCTTTTCAAGAATTGGACCATGGGTTGATCAAGAAGAATGTGGGAGATTTTGGCCCCTTACAGCTTGTGCGCTACTTGCATCAACCGGAGAAGGTTGGTTAGATCCGACAAATCCTTGTATATCTGAACTAAAAAGTTCAGGATTGTTTTTCACCAGTAGATTAAAGCAATGACGCATTTGCCTCAATTCATGCATTTCTTCTCTCATTTCTTGCATTTCTGCTTTCAAAGTAGAGACTTCGTTGTTATGCTTTTGTTGGAGCTTATTGATTTCCTCATCTTTTTTCAGAGAACTTGTTGTCACTGATCTACCATAACAGCGTATTCGACCAGGCTGCTCCTTCCAAACACTGCCCTAAACGCAGAAATTGCCTAAATGATGTGCTGAAACGCTGTGCGGAAATGCTGAAACGCTGTGCAAAAATGCTGAAATATGTGTAGAAAGCAGAAAATGCTGAAACGTTGTGCATAAACGCAGAAATTGCCGAAAATCTATGCGAAAATGCAGAACACTGTGCACAAATCCAAAAATAATGTGCAGAAATGCAGAAAACATAAAATTAACTGTGCAGAAATGCAGAAAACACAGAAAAATTGTGCAAAAATACAGAAAACACAGACAAACTGTGCAGAAACACAGAAATTGCCTAAATGATGTGCTGAAACGCTATGCAGAAATGCTGAAATGCTGTAACGCTGTGCAGAAATGTTGTAGCACTGCAGAATCACAGAAACACTATGCAGAAATGCTGTAACACTGTGCAAAAATGCAGAAATGCTGTAAAGTGTATTTCTCTGTTTTGCGCTCTTAAATAAAATTTGCCAACGTGTGTTTCTTGAAGAGGATGAAATTGCAGAACGAGCAACCTAAATTTAAGATGAAACAAAATATCACTAAACATTGATCAAAGAACCAAGATGACAACTTAGAAAAACATTAATTGACAAAAACATTTTAAAACTTAGCAAATAAAAAACAACAACAACAACCCAGTATATACTTCAACACTAGTGGAGGGTGCTTACTAGTGTGCCGAAATGCAGAAAACGCAGAAGTAATATGCATAAACGTTATGCAAAAATGCTAAAACGCTGAAGAAATACAGAACTGCTGTGCAAAAATGCAGAAACTCAAGAAGCGCAGCAGAGAAATGCATAAATATTGTGCAAAAACTGCTGAAACGTTGTGCAGAAACGCATAAATGGCCGAAACTCTATGCGAAAATGTACAACACTGTGCAGAAATCCAAAAATAATGTGCATAAATGCAGAAAACACAGAAAAACTGTGCAGAAACGCAAAAATTGCCAAAATGATGTGCAGAATTGCTGAAACGCTGTGTAGAAATGCTGAAATGCTGTACAGAAATGCTGAAAATGCAGAAAAATTGTGCAGAGTCACAAAAATACTGCAGAATTTTCTTCTTCCTGCACAGTATTCTGCACATCAATGTTAAAGATATATTTTCAGTAAGGGGATAGGTTGCGGGAGCAGTAGTCGACTTTGACATCAATGATTTCAGTAAAAAATAAGCGAGTTTGGTACCAGAGAATAAGACAGGCTCCCATGGGCGCAAGGACTAATATTCTGTTATTTTTTGTGATCGATCTAACAACTGAAAATGGCGTCTTTCATTTTGATTAAAGGTTTAATGAGGAAGTTAAAGTTATTTTTGAGGTGCACGCGAGTTGGTCTAGACTTACACAGAAAGATGTTAAAGATACATTTTCGGATAATTAAGCATCTAGTTGTGTATTTGCTTATGAAACCATATAAAGATTTAGTGCATCTTTATAACCACTACTAAAGGCAAACTTTATATGCCAAACCATTTTTGGTCCTACGGACAATCTCATTCAGTTTTCTTCACAAGTATCATCACGATGTCGATATATCAGATAAATCCAGAATCCAGACTATGCTAATACTCTATGTTGAAGTTTAAATACTAGGTATTCAGGCGGACAAATTTAGTAAAAGTTGAAAAAAATGTAAAAGATATTTTCAAGGGTCAAGGATTATTTGCTGCCACAATACTCGTTTTCGTGACCTATCTGTTTGCTTAGACATAAGTAAAAGTTTTAAAGAAAAATGAGATAAACTTGTCATAACTAATCTGGGCTGTAAACCAGATGCAATATCCACATTTATAGAGAAGAAAGAACAAGACTACAAAGTTTGGCCAAAGTTTTTGGTCAGAAGTATTTTTAACGATGAACGGAAAGAAGTTATTAAACGGAAAGCAAAAATTTCATAGAAAACTTACAAGTTTATAGCAGTTGCAACCCTAAGCAAACGAACTTCCCAATTGAAACCTAAATAAGAGGGTTTTGACTTTTGAGAAGAGCAATTAGAAGAAATTAAGCATCTCCATCAGCAATTTTCACAAAATCTACCCTAATCTGCTTAACTAGATGACAAGAACCATGTTTTAGGGAAGAAGAAGTACGGGAATAATTTAGGTAAAACTTAACTTGGTGGAATATTTTTGGGCATAATTATTTTTTGGGGCAGAAAAGATTTAGGGAGGGAAAGGATTTAGGGGAAAAGTTTTAGCGGGAATTTTTAGGGAATTATTAGAGCACACTTGTATGGGGTAGCTTATACAAAGTTAAATTACCACCCCTCGTAAACGTGGTATTATATTTGACTAAGCGTAGCTAATTATTTTATTATTTGACAACACTTGAAAAGTGTAGTGTTTACTGTTAAAAGGCACGCTTCATAAGTGTTGCCTAAAATCTGTATCCAAAAGTGCTTGACAAAGGCCACCCCTAATAAAGCATCCCCACAGATATTTTTGGCAACACTTTTTAAGTGTTGTCTATAAAAGTGTGGTCTTAGGCCAAATTTGTTGTAGTGCACTATCCCTAATTGTGATCACGCTAGACCCCATAATGTTTTAGTGCGATGAATTCACCCATCATCCATCAATTTAAACTGAAAAGTGATAGTGATTTCATTAATAATTACAAAAAGGGAGGTATTGATGGAGTCTTCCGAAATTCCAAGTTGAATGGATCCTTGGTTTTAGCAAAACCTTCTTTGGGCACACTCACTTATTCATGGAACTCCAGGATCTAAGATGTAGATTACAACTAGTAGCGGAACATAATTTGACGAACCTATATAAGTTGAAACGGATGCTGCGAACATCCCACAATTACTGGAATTAGAGAATTGTCCTCCCTATAATAACATCATTTCTGATTGCAGGTATTGGATGAGGAAGTTGGGGAATCCACTAATTCATCACAACTTTCGTGAAGGAAATCGAGTTGCGCATGAATTAGCAAAGCAGGCATCCAACCAGGCTAATATCAACTTTACAACTATCTATTTTGAAATGTCGGAAACTGTGAAGGATCGAAAAATTATACTTTGAGACTCACATGCCAAGTCATACTTGTGTGAGACTCTTCAAAGCTGGACATTTGGACTAGTGGGTCCTACTTCTACCGCCATTTTTCTCTTTCGTAATTTCACCTTCCTCGTCCCAAATAGCCCTTCCAATTTTCCTTTCTTTACTATACCAGAAAATTTTCCTTCACTTCCACATTAGAACTCCCCAAACATCACTCTTAATTATCCTTTCAGAGCCCAAAACTCGTTTCCTCTCACATTTGATTCTTCCCTCACTCATTTTCAGAAAGAGATAAAAACAGTTGATGAAATCATAGAGATAATTTTGCTGTAAATTTGATATTAAGATTCTTCGTTATTATTTTCAAAAAAAATGAAAATCAAGAAACGTGGAGATTTTCAGCCTAATTTCTTCTACGACCCCCATCACAAACTTTAAACCCATTACCCTTAAATTCTTTTTTGGTCCATTATCAATCCATATTTATTCCCCAAGCTTTATCGTTTCTAACACATTTAATGATAATGAAAAATATATAGATCCATAATCTTTTTTGATTTCTTAAAATAAAGTGAACAACCTGTGTTCGAAGAAAACTCAAAACATGTTAGAGAAAATAAAACAACAGTCACCGGACGAGTTTAGGGATAATGAAAGAGAGAGTTATGTCTTGGAGTTCTGGCAGCGAGTGAGGGACAATGTTCTAGTAAAGTAGAAAGGAAAATTAAAAGGAAAATTAGAAGTGACTGTTTGGGACGAGGGAGACGAATTAAAAAGGCGAGGAAAATGGTGGAAGAAGTGGGATCCATTAGTCCAAATGTCAAGCTTTGAAGACTCTCACACAAATGTGACTTGACATGTGAGACTCAAAGTAAAATTTCTGTGAAGGATCTATTTCTATTAGATCTAATGACGGTGCTGTTTTACCCTAAAATTTGAGTAACAATTAAATATGTATTATGATTTTAAGGATACGTGACTTAATTCAATACCAATTGGTAAATAATAAATTAATTAAATGAATTAGACGATAAAACAAATCAAACCAGTGTTGTGGCAGTGTATCGACCTCGATTCGGAAAAGTCTCGAGATCAAGCAGCAAAAATAATAACGAATAATAGTAAATAATGAATAAACAGAGAGCAGCGTGTGTATTATTTATCAATGAATTGTCATGATTACAAATAAATGGGGTCCCTCTTTATATAGTAGAGGAATCCAAAATAAGGTAAAACACTAATAACGGAAATAAATCCCGTGATTGGCACTGATAATCGCTTGGTATGATCTATTTTGAGATTTCCGCCGAGACCTTCGGTTGGTTGCTAATGTCTCGCCATTCTGTTATTATGCCTTACTCGAGGTTGGCCATACTCGGCCTTGGTTTTCAACGAGCACTTCGATCGTCAAGTTCTATACTCTACCATCGGGCTCGAGCCAGGTCCGTTTTGAGCTTATTCTCGAAGCAACTCCTCGATCCTACAAAATCGGACATGCCCGATTTCGACCGTACACAGATAGTCCCCGCGTTTCTTAGAGTGAAGTGATAAGAAATGATTTGATCCTCGATTCTCCGATACCTCGATCATGACGTCAATTTCACGACGTCATCGATAGAAGTGACTGAAGGGTCGCGTTCGCATAGTTTCTAAGGCCATTAATCAACGGTGGATGATGTTCGGCCACTAGTTTCCTCAAACCGCTGAAGTGGCCACTATAAATAGATCAACTTCTCAATCTTTACAATCTTTAATTCCAAAACCTTTTCCCAAGCTTCTCAATTTTTTAAGTTCATCCTCCTCTTCAATTTGTGTTTGTCATAACATCAACTTCTTCTCCTTTCTTGAATTCCACAACAGTGATGGCTAAAACATCTAAAACTGTCCCTCAAAAAGAAAAAGCCTCCTCATCGCAGTCGACCGGTGATAAAACGTCGGTGGAGCCTCGCATCGTGGAGTGTATTCCTGGGCTATGCGAGCTGTCTTCCGATTTCAAAGTCGAAAAACCTTCCTCAGTTCCAGGCCGATGTGAGCCCATGTCCCAATACATCTCCTCGATATCTGATGACGATCTTGAGCGGGTAAAAAAGGACTGTAATTGGGAAAACAAGAAGGTGGTGATTCCTTCCCCTGAGGAGAACATCACTACCCATGTGACAGGGTACTTAAGTGTGTATACTTATCCTTTCACATTGGGTCCCGTAGATCCAGTCATACTCGATTTTTGTCATCAATATCGGGTGACCCTTGGCAATATCTACCCCTCCTTCTAGCGTATCTTCATTTTGCTCAGATTTTTTTTGAGCAAGGTCAAGGGGATGTCTTTCACCCTTGACCATGTGATCAGGTTATATAGCCCTCGACTTTATCAAGGTAGGTTGATAAAGGTCCAGTATCGGAACACGAAGGCATTGTTCTTGAGTATTGATGAGGACAAGGACCAAGGATGGATGCGCCGGTTCGTCCGAATCAAGACCTCTGACCTAATCCCCGCCGAAAGAATGCCATTCCCCGAGGAATGGAACATGAAACGTAAGTACAACTCCATCGATGATGTTCACTATTTTTCTTTCTTTATTCTTCTTCGATCTAATTTCTTTTTCATGGTGCAGCTTCCCCTTGGTTTCCTGGTGCGATTCCAGACATCGAAGGTTGGGTTCGACAACTGGCCTCTACTCTTCACATACTGAGCGTTGTTGGCATGATTTGACCAAGGGTCGGTGGGAAGCTATAAACCACGGTGAGTTCCTTTGTTCACATGTTGATGCTTTTCTGTAAAATACTATTTTTGTTTACTTAGTTTCTCCTTATGCAGGCCTCGAAGAAAATATTGTTATGAGGTCGCCTCCGCATGGTGAAGAGGAGATCCCGAGGCCAACAAAAGAGAAGAAGAGAAAAAAGGCCTCGCCTCTAAATACCCCGAAGCCCAGGAAAAGTAGGGTTCGAAAATCGAAGGTCGACCATGCACCCTGTCTGCTGACGCGGTTCAACATCTTAGGGAGGAGGACGAAGAAGGAGAGGACGCCGACTGCTTGCTGGTAGCTCGAAAGAGGGGAAGCACTGAAGCTTCAAAGGCTGCCGAGCCGGTGGTGGTTGAGGTGGTTCAATCTCAAACCAAAGAAATCTTAGAGGGATGTTCGAGCAGAGTCCCCAAGCCATCGGGTGGTAAAAGCGTACCCCATCGTGAAGAACGACTGGCTGGTGTGCCTGAAGGGTCTAATTCAGAGGCCCCTCAAAGAGAAGAGAATTTCCCAGGTGACTCGCTTGGGATATTTAATATAGATGAATCACCACCTGGCCATACATTCTCCGAAGGGCAGCTCTGAGATGTTCGGGCTATGGAGACTCCCAACGTGGGGACGGCCCATGAAAGGAATGATATATTCCAGGGATGCTTCGCAGGGGTCGAAGATGGTCCCGACTGGGATGCTTCATTCATTTTTGACGAGGCTCACCGGCTTCTTGAACAAGTAAGTTTCTGCTTCCATAATTATCCAAGTCTGATTTTTTCCTTTGTGTGAAGGCCATGACGCTCCATCGAGAAGCGTTTTCCAAATCCCGGGCTGAGCTGACCCAATGTGAGGCCGAACTCAAGAAGCTTATGGAGGAGAGAGACAACCTCAAATTTCTTTACGTTCAAAAAGAGGAGGAGATCAGGGACCCCCGAGCCGAACTGACGAGGGCTCATCGAGATCAGACTAAGATCCTCGAGCAGGTAATGTAACTTCTTGGGAATTTGTTATGTATTCATTTGACTTGGCAATTAACATTTTAACTTTGCAGGCCCAACAAAAGGGCGAGCTGATGGAGCAGCTTTGAGAGGAGGCCACGATGAAGGAGGCCGAGACCCTGGGGCAGAAATTGCATATGGATTGTGTTGCCTCGGAGAAAGACGTGCTTCGGGCCCAACTGACTTCGGTCGAGTGCCAACTTCAAAGTGTGAAGGAGGAAACCTTGGCTCCGGCCTAGAAGATTGAGGAGCTCGAGGCTATCTTGGTCGCCGAGCTTGCAAAGGCTAAATCTGAGGTGGAGGCACTTGTGGCCTCTTATCGAGCTGACGCCGAGGCTTCCAACATTCGGGCACAGGAGATATCTATTGCTGCCAAAGTCAAATTTTTGTGTGTTGTCGATCATGCTAGGCGACAATCCCGGAGAGAGACTCTCGAGGAACCGCATGATCGTGGCTTT